TAGGGATTACACTTACTACTCGGCGGTCCACGCTCACTATAGCCGCATAGACTACGTATTCCTGGCGCAAGAGTATTTGGCGGTGCTGCAGGGGTCTGAGATAGGGAGCATGGAACAGTCAGATCACGCGCCTATGATAGTACATACGAGTGCCCCCCTCTTCAAACCCACGGAAAGGCAATGGCGGTTGAATGAGACCCTGTTGGACGATCCTCTCCTGGTAGCAGAGGTGTCACAAGCCCTGACGGACTACTTTACCATTAATAACTCGCCTTAGATAGCCCCATTGACGCTCTGGGAGGCGCACAAGTGTGTCATCCGGGGACGCCTTATAGCGATCAGCACGAAGCGCAAAAAGGAACGCACAGCTCGTCTGGTTCGGCTGGCGGGACGGGTGGCGGAGCTGGAACAGGCACACAAGCGCACGTTAGATGACGAGACCTATTGCCTCTTGACGGAGACACGACGAGAGCTCCGCACCATATTAACCCAGGGCATGCTACATACTGCGCGTAAGGCGGCAAGGTTCTTTTACGAGCATTCCAACAAGTGCGGCAGGCTACTCGCAAAAATGCTCCAGGATAAGAGGAGGGCGCAACATATACACAAGATTCGCACGCAGGGGCAAACAGTCACTCACCTCCCGGATGGCATCCTGCGAGCATTTCAAAAATATTACGAGGCCTTGTACGATTTAGCTGGCACCCGATCCGAATCTCAGAGAAGGCAGCATGGGGTGCAGGTCGCTACTTACCTGGGCAGACACGTTGCCCGCAGGCTAACCCCGGAGTAGGAAGCTGAGCTCGATCAACCCATGACACTGGAGGAGCTTGCGGGAGCGCTGAAAGCAGCCCAGCCCAACAGGGCCCCGGGCCCGGATGGCCTGCCGGTGAGATACCTCCGCGAGTTCAGGGAGGTCCTATTGCCGAGACTCCTGGAGGGGTGCAATTCGTTGCGCACGGGAGGCCGGTTCCAGGCAGACACACTAAGGGCAACGGTAGCGCTCATCCCAAAAGAGGGCAAGGACCCAACGAGCTGCGCGAGCTACAGGCCTATCTCGCGATTAAACGCGGACCTGAAGGTCTTCGCCAAGGCTCTGGCGCTGCGAGTGGCTCGGGTGGCGCCTGACCTCATACACTCCGACCAGGTCGGATTTATTCCAGGGAGGGAAGCCCGGGATAATACGATCCGAGCCCTAAACGTCATACACGTGGCGAAGGCCAACAGGCGGGAGCTGGTGCTCTTATATACAGACGCTGAGAAGGCATTCGACCGCGTGGACTGGACGTTCCTCTTGGAGTCACTAAGGCATATGGGATTTGGGCAGCACCTCCGCACTTGGGTGGAGGCCCTATACGCGAGACCGTCGGCGCGAATCAGGGTCAATGGCGCACTCTCTGAACCAGTCACGATCTGCAACGGTACGAGGCAAGGATGCCCGCTGTCCCCCCTTCTGTTTGCCCTCACTCTAGAGCCATTTCTGGAGGCGGTCAGACGGGACGGGGGTATCACGGGGCTCCGCGTGGGTCGGAGCGAACATAGAGTGGCGGCCTACGCGGACGACATGCTATTTTTCCTGGAGCAGCCTCGGATCTCAATACCTAACCTGTTGAAAGCGTTCAGAGAGTATGCTGCGGTCTCGAACCTTTCGCTCAACCTAGACAAATCGGAGGCCATGCCGCTGACCTCAGGAGACGCCATGCTGAGGCACCTTCGCGAGCACTTCCCATTCCGGGTCTGCCAGTCGAAGCTCAAATATCTGGGAATATGGCTGCCAAACGACTTAAAAGACGTATACTCATTCAACTTTACGCCTCTTCTCACGATTCTACAGGGGGACATGGAAAAATGGACGTCCCAGTACATCTCTTGGTTCGGGCGGATCAACGCCATTAAGATGAACGCAATGCCAAGAATCCTTTACCTGTTCCAGACGCTGCCGACATATATCCCGCGGTCGTTCTTCCAGTCCTTAACAACTGCCATACGGAAATTTGTTTGGAATCGGGGAGCGGCTCGTATTGGCAGGTCAGTCCTGGAGCGACCAAAACATGCGGGGGGCACGGGTCTCCCATCGGTGATCACCTACTACCAGGTGACTCATCTATGCCGCCTGGTGGATTGGCATGTGTTCCCGACCGCCAAGCAGTGGGTTGACATGGAGCGGCAACAAGCTCAAGGAAGGATTCCCTCTCTGGTGTGGTTGGACGGCACTGTTCTGGGTGACATTCACACGGGTAATCCGATGATAGACTCCACACTGCGTGTGTGGTGTGGGACCAGATACGCGAAGCAATTGACCACGATGCCAAACCCGCTGATTCCTATAACTAACAACCCGCGGCTTGCGGGAGGACTTAAGATGGCAGACCTCAAGAGCTACGCGGCGACGGAATGGACCTATCTGCGGCAATGGTGTAATTAGGTAACCCTCAAACCACTACAGGATCTGATCCCAGAACACACCCCGACCGGATTGGATGAATTCCGCTACCATCAATTGCACAGGTATTACCTCTCCCTACCGGGGAAAGGCAACATCCATAGAACACTGCTACTGCTGGAGCAGGCATGTGTGGACAGGCAACACCTCAGGCATATGTTATATGCCATGCTCCAGCTGCAGGGAGGCGGGACCCCCTTGGGATTCACTAAGCGCTGGGAGCAAGAGACGGGAACGAGTCTCACGGACAGCGAGTGGGACAAAATCTTTATGCTGACACACAAAGGGAGCATCTGCTCCAAATACCAGGAATGTAACTACAAAATCTTAACGGGCTGGCACAGAACTCCAGATATATTACGTCATGTTCACGAGTCAATCCCCGGGGAGTGCTGGAGGTGCGGCTTGGAACAGGGCACGAGACTTCATATCTGGTGGTCGTGTTCGCTAATAGCACCATACTGGAAGCAGATACACGAAGCAATTAGGGATATCGCGGATGCAGACCTCCCCCTGCAGCCGCTGCAAATGTTGCTTAATCACACGCAAACGCCGCTGCGGAGCTATAAAAAGGGTCTGACCATACATCTGCTAACGGCAGTGAAAACCCTAATCCCAATTCACTGGAAAAGTAGCACAGTCCCCACCTTCCAGCAATGGGTGGATAGGGTGGAAGATATATATAACCTCGAGATGATGACGGCCTCCCTGCAGGGACGCGAGGACAAATGTGCAACGACTTGGTTCCCGTGGGTGGATTACATGACCAAGAGGGCAAGGCGGGGGGGCGCTCGGGGGGGGGGAGATGGAGGTGCCATGGTGCCGCTGACCCTGCCGACCCACGGGGGGGGAGATGCCCTGAGGGGACCGGCGACGGCCTCCACATGTTCCGAACCCGCCCAGCCCACACTGCGTGACGAGTGCTAAATGACAGTGGTACCGACGGAGGGGTGACCGGGGGGGGACTTGCTACGAGTGGGGGGAGCGGGGGGATCGAGACAGGGATGCACTGGGCGCAAGCCTAGCACAAGAGCAACGTTAACCAGGGACGGGCGATTAGTTAACACTCCCGACACAGGACGGAGTGTGGAGGCACAGACGGGGTGGGGGGGGAGGGAGGGGAGTAGGGGAGGGAGGGCTGGGGAGACCTAAGCTGTACGCTGCAGGAAGGTGGGCAAGGTGGTTCTAGAGCTCTAGGGACTAGGGACAGGGGGGGACGATACTGTGGAAGGGTGGAATAACATAGGCAAGGGGGGGGAGTAGGGGACAACGAGGTGTAATGGATATAACTCAGTCTTAGGACTCACGAATACACTGGGGGGACTGGAGAGGGGGACAGCCTCGGGGGGGCGCCCGCCAAGAGGTGACAGGAGACCACTCCAGAAAACTCACCGGCAGTGGTCGTGGGGGCACCAGACGCAACGCCCACACTAACCTGCTATCAGGAAGGGCTTGCGGCACAGGCCCTGACGCATAGAGCAGGGATGCTTGAGGCGAAGAGCCTTAGAAACACTAGCCATAGCGAAATGAGCAGGGGGCATGATGGGCAACAAACTAACACTCGTATACTGGCCCTGGTATTATATATCGCTGTACAGAAGCCGGTTGAAGGGGTAAGGGGGGGGTGGGGTGGAAGGTGACGAGATGGCGAGCAGGAGGGGGGAGTCCTAGCAGAGGGGGAAAGGGGACGCAGCACTCAGGCACCGAGGCAACCGCAAGACGTCACCATCAAGTAATTGAGTGCCGGGGATTTACTTCTTGTACTATGTTCTGTTCTGTATTCATTACTTAAAATTCTAATAAAAACGAGATTGTCAAAAAAAAAGAAATGTGGTTTTAGACAGCTCCATGTCCCTAAGTTGAGCTTGTAAACTGAGAAGTTTAGTATGGGTGGCGGGAGATGGAGTGTGTTTGTTAGTATGCGTGAGGGCTGTGATTTCTGTAATTAGGGATGTATACTTGGCGGAGCTTCTTAACATGGCTAGCATGTTTGATAAAACATCCACGTATGAAGGCTTTGTAGGTGAGCCATATTTAGTCTAAGGGAGAGTCAGGGTATTTGTTGTCTTTGAAATAATTTATTAGGTTGGCAGAGATTTGTGCGGCAGGACAGGGATCAGACAGTAAGAATTAATTTAGATTCCATGACCCTTTCCCCCTTTTGTGGAACTGTTTAGTTAGGGATAATGTTATAGCCATTGTATTAGTGTAGCTGAAGCGTTATACCTCAGCTAGTAGGGCAGTAGCACATTGGGAGTGGATAACAAAAATAAAAGGAACAAAGTAAAAAATAAGTAACTATGTACATAATACTGTTTACCATATGAAAATGGCATGAATCATGAAATTAATGGAGGTAAACTATCTGGAAGGCCATGGGGGGTGGTGTTATACATTGGGGAGGTATTATCACTACCCAGAAAGAATGCAATCTTTTTTTTTAAGGGAACATAAACACAATCATAAGAAATCAACCGTCCGTGGTTTAAAGCTATAGATCACATGTGTAGGTGAAAACAGCTTAACATCGGAACCTCAAGGTAGTACGGCTTCTTGTTCAGGTAGGTGGAGGCCGCCTGGCAGTGAAGGTCTGTAGGGGTCTTGAAATGCTCGACCAGTCTTTAGTAAGCTTCTTAGGTGATACTTTTGACAAGGATGTAGGTGGTTCGTACGAGGTCACCGGAATGTTCCATTCTTGAAGCAGTCTTTTGCCATCCTCAGGTGAGAAAATGGGTTTGCTGCGTTTTACCATCAGTTTCACAGGGAGCCCCCCCTTGTACGGGATGTTCGCTGCTCGTAGGGCTGCCGTAATGGGTGCAAAGGTGCACCTCTTGAACATGGTTACAGAGGAGAGGTCTGTGAATAGGTTAATCTTCCCAAATTTCTCCGGTAGTGGTGTATTCGCTCTGGAAGCTTGCATGATACGGTCCTTCACTGTAAAATAGTGAACCTTGGCTATTACATCTCCTGGTGTCGTGGGCTGGAGATGCTTTGGCCTAGGCAAACTAGGGTCGGAATGAGCGCTTTGAATATTTCCTGCACAAACTGTGTTAGGTCTTGTGGTTATACTGATTCCGGGACTCCACAGATCTTAACGTTATTCCGCCTGTCGCGGTCCTCATTGTCTGCAACCTTCTCCTCCAAGAATTGCAGCTTTTTCTGTATTGAGGAGTAGGCATCAGCTAGGGAGCTATGTGCGTCAATTATTTCCTCTGTTTTCTTCTCCAAGTGTGCTGTTCTTTCCCCAATAGACTGGATATCAGCTCTAATGCCTGAAGCTATCTTTAGGAGGACTGACTGTATGGAGGATTGGAATTCTTGCAGCATGCTGCGGATGGAGGCATCTGTGGCAGGGCATGTATATTGGTTGAATACATGCTGGCTGTCGCCTGCCTCCGAGCCGGAAGCTGGAGAGTGAGGCCTGTTGGCACCATCTTTATTCTCCTGGCTGGGTGTCTGTGATGGAGTTAAGTGAGAGTGGATCGTTTTTTGTTTACATTTTTTGCAGGATTTAGTCTCCATGGATTGCACTGGGTCGTCATCAGGCAGTGTGAACCAGTCACTGATTTTCACGGCTGTTTTAAACGCTGTAGGTACCATGGAACAGGAGAGCCCTCGGATCATATGTCTGCTCCCATGCACTGCCAAACCACGCCACTAAATGTGGTGTTTTTATAGTTCAAGTCATACTTAAAAATTGATAGTAAATGGGGCCAGACACATTCATGGTTCTGAGGCCCTTTCTAACTCCCTGGCCCTAGTTGGTTGCCAAAGGTCACCTTATAAGTAATCCTGCTCCGGTTCCTTGTCATTACAATGGCTAGACGAGTCTCACTGAATAACTAAATGTCCCAATCAGAGACCAGGATATCTACAGAGATACCCAATAATCATGGAGATCCGGTACTATTGCGCCAACAGCACTAGAACTCACGGGAGCAGCACATTTTAAAATATATATCGTAAAAACTGATTAGTCAATAAATTATAAATCTGTTCACAGTATAAAATAACATTAGGACCCAGCAATGTTTGGGTAAAAAGAAAAAAAAGTATTCAGTGTATTGCCAACTGCTGTCTAGAAAGTATTAACTGCAGTGGATGTTTCCCTACCATGAGTAAGGTCACGGTCCTTGGATTTTCTTGCCTCATGTTTCCAGTTGGCCGGCTGAGTGTTACAGCCAATTTACAGCCTGCATTTTGCCTATCGGTAACTGAGCTAGAGAGGTTTAAACCCTCATGGAATTCCTCCCACGCTCTGTGTCCTGTGTTCTCCTCGTCTATCGGATATAGGTGGACATGCTTACTTTGTATAATACGTCCCGAGGATTGAGTCTGCCTGTAACCTTGCGTGCTGTAGGCAAACAAGACCAGAAAGCCAGGGCATCACAGATCAGAAATTAATTGGTCTCATTAACATTTTGTGATTATAATGACTTGTAATCCATATCCCATGCAAATAACATTATTGATGGCAAGAGCAAAGGTCGATAACTATGAGTGCTCTGTTTGCATCAAGATAACATTTGTCTCTCCTTTTGCAGAATTCAAATGAGGACATTAATGCCGGGTCAAATTCTCATCTTTAACATATTTTTGTTATTAGACAATTAATTCCCTTTCAGGTTCCATTTGTCCAAAGGTGTCTGAAAGGGCGAGGATCCCACCCTGTCATCAGCGGGGATTAAAGGACAGTTTCCTAGCACTGCTTTTACATTTTATATATAGAAGCATCGAATAAATGTTTACAGAAAAACAAGTGTCAAATATCTCACTGTTTGGAAAAACTGAATAAAATTATCGAATTTTCACATCTTAGTTGTCAGTCATTGTTTTCTATCATTAAAACCCTTTTTTTATTGTTACATTAATAAATAAGTCTAATCGTGCCTGGTTTATTTGCCAGTCTCTGGTGTACGTGTCCATGTTAAGGAAAGGCTTGCTATAGTCCAATATCAGTTGTGGTAGAAAACATGGCCTTTAAATCTCATCAGATTGTGATGTACATCAATAAATACCAGCCACCGGGGGTTACCAATATTAAAGCCACCAACTTCATGCCTCTGGTCCTTTGCGGCAGCCATCTTTGATCTGAAGCACAGCTTATTGACCAACGTGCAATAACTAGTCAATAGCTAGTTAGTGTTTGATTACCAATAGTTACATCATGTGCGTGTGCAGGGCATCTTAAAAAATACATTCTGGGACGACTTCAGACCTTCATATTGTGCTTGGGCTAAAGAGGGTTAAAATGGCCTCCCCCGCAGAGCATGGATTGGTGCTGAAACTGAAAAGAGATGTCCATTTATTCATTACAAAATAATACACAACAAGACTGTATTACATGCAATCTTTATTTTATGTAATAAAAAATGATGACTTATACCTCAGAGATGTTTCATATTTTTTAGATTGTGCAGGATCTAAGAGATCACATTCACCATATTGTTACTTTGATCGGACCTATCAGCTATTTGCTCTTCACTGGTCTGTGACAAATAAAAAAAAAACCACAAGTCATAGAGAGGAATCACGCTTGTACTGAAGGTATTCGAACCATATCTATCAAATAATGGGCGATATTTACTGACAACTCGCAGCTATGGAAAGAGCATTTGTTCTTTAATCACTGACTCGTAGTACAGCAGCTCTAATGAAATGAAATTTAACATTTAATGGAAGACAAAACATGGAGTGTTCAGTCACTAGCTAATGTCCATCTATAATCTATACCTGCTACGTGTATTTTAACCCCTTAAGGACATGATTCCCTTTTATTTCTGAAGTTGTGTCCTTAAGGATTTAATTATTAATAATAATATTAATAAGTGTCCAGACATTAGGCTTCTTTCACTGTGCTAGTGTTCCATAGATATAGGGCAGCATGGCTAAAACCTCGTAACCCACATTTGTGTTGAATTCTTTGTGCAGTTACCTTTCAGGCATGCGCTGAATGAAGAGTGTGAGTTGGGAGATAGGACACCAATAATTATTTTACATAGCTTGGTCCCTGATCATGCAGAGCGTTGTAGGACAGCAGGCCTATCTTGAACAGTATGAGTCATTTTATTGGTAGCCAGTGCAAGGTATGGGCGTCACAGGGCAAAACTTTGACTGATCTGTTAGTAGTCCCGCTGCAGTATTTTGTACTAGCTGAAGGTCTATTAACATAACACAGCAAGATTTTAATATACTATAAAAAGACAGATATTTGATCTATACATGACCACATTACTAACAAATGCATAGATCGAAGGGCAGACTACTGGTAGATTTTCAACTGTAATAAAAGCCCTCTCCAAACTCCCATGATGCTTTGCTTGTGGATGACTGATCATCGCAGGTTGTGGTTCTGCATCCGAAGAGGGTTTGTTGCCTGTGATTTAGGTAAACCTAAATGTTCATCTAAGCTTTTTTTGTTTGAATGAGCATGGTGTCTGCTTACAGGGTAATAATTACTGTGACTGTAGTTGGATGTAAACGCAAAACCTACCGTGAACTGTCTGTGGCTCCCTGATATGTAACATAGGTACACGTTAACCTACCTACCGTGTGAAAAACCTACACAAAATATCATAGCAAACTAGATTGCCTTATTATATATATATATATATACCATGATGATGTATTATACGGAAGGTTATGTAGAATTTCTAGAGTGATGGATATTTCTGTTGCATTTACATTTTTATTTCAAGATTGAATCTTTATAAACATACACAGGTCTATGATGTCTGAGAACTGAAATTGTATTATAGCAAATCTCCTGTAAATGGGATTTAGCACTCAGGGGGCTCCGATGGCCTATTAATTCTGAGCCTGGCACACGTCCAAAGGAACTCTTCTAATTCACGGGTAATTTCTATCAAAGCTACCAAGAGACCATTTCTTTCCAGACAGGAAGAATCCAGATCGCTTAAATGGATTCACGTGTGGGGCTTCAGAAAAAAGACATTGACTGGTTGGTCTCTTGGGGCCCTCGGAGGGCTATGTGTTCCAACATGCAGAGCACAGGAAGTACGAACCCATGGAACATGGCGCAAGCTCTTGGGCCCAGGCGTAATCCAGCAGCTAAGGACCTCTGCAGTCCTTTTCTTAATTAATGAAGTGATTTTACTTGAATGAGATTATGTCTGACATGAATTGAAATTATAAAAACCAAGAATACAACGAGAAGGAGAGAAGTCTCCATTAAATACATAATTAAATCCATTTGACTGATCTACTTTGCCGCTTTTTATTATCAGGGGTCCAGAGGGAGCATTAAGTCCCACTCTCAGACCGAAAACTGCACAGATGGGTAGGATGTACCTAGTGTCGTGTAAACATAGGGTACGGAACTTACCATTATAGTGGTTATAAAGTACAGCTCATGGGGACGACTGAATTAAATAATTCTATGAATGTAGGGGCAAATCATAAGAGTGGTGTTGTGATAAAAGCAGCTCTGCGTGGGTTACTGCCTGGGTCCCTGTGTGAGAGACCCCTGAATCCCACAATTATAACTGGCAGTCTCTGGGGCTCTGCACTTCAGGAGATCAGCAACTGCAGAACAACTAATGACTCCTGCATTCATTGGGCACACCAAATTATACATAAAACGTGCCAAATTATACATAGAACATTCCAAATTATACATAAAACTTGCCAAATTATACATATAACTTGCCGAATTATACATAGAACTTGTCAAATTATACAGAGAACATTCAGAATTATACATAGAACATTCCAAATTATACATAAAACGTGCCAAATTATACATAGAACATTCCGAATTATACATAAAACTTGCCAAATTATACATAGAACATTCCGAAATATACATAAAACTTGCCAAATTATACAGAGAACATTCAGAATTATACATAGAACTTGCCAAATTATACAGAGAACATTCAGAATTATACATAGAACCTG